GGAGGCGTGAGGGTCGATCTGGGTCTCGACCGGCTCGTAGTCCAGCCAGGGTCGGGGCCCTGCAGCCGCACCGTGACATGTGGGTTCCCTATTGCGGGGGACTGCTGTATTGTTTAAGCCGTCCCAGTTGCACTACAGGCGCTGTACTGGGAACGACGGAAAAATGTCTCCAGTGGTACTTCACCATATTTTCGTTATTTTACAGATATCATTCGCCGCATCCGGAGGTCATGACCCCGGTCATGTTGGTCTTTGTATGGGTAGTTTAAAATTGATGACCACGGCAAATTATTCGGGAAAATGATGTCGTGCCAATCAACGCAAAGAATTTGGGAAAAATGCTTACCATTTCAGCCAGTTAAACAACGGGCCATCGCTTGCTTTTCGGCAGCCGATCGTGTTGCCTTGAAGATGACAGACTCGCCGAGGTGATGCCGGGTGCAGTGCATGCGCAAAGCGTCTTTTTGATTTTCGTTGTACTTGGCTTCACATTTTGGGCAATGGTAGTCTCCATTGTCGTCCTTTGTAACCAGTGTTTTCCCCACTTGTGCCGTCCCCGAGTCAAATTGGAAAATGCAATTTTTGGTGGAATGCAAATCCGAACAGACTCTGATAGGCTGAAATCATACCTTCGTGATTGGTTGAAAGCCATATTTTAATCTTCTTGATTGGCTATGACCAAAAACAATGATATCTTGAATATCAAAGTGAAAACCTCTCACATTCCATTGTTATCCAGGATATCAATGTTTTTGGTCATGACCGCAGTCATAAACCTCTGTAAACTTTATGACCAGTGGATCGATATTTTAATCGAGACTTTTAGCAAGTCCGAAATCCTGACTTTTCATACTTGAACTTCGTTTCGTATTTCGAAGATTGCAAACTTCCTCCGGAATCAAGCCTGCAAAGTGAGGAAGTTCGTGGACTTTCTGCCCCGAAGTCTGCTGAGTACAAACTCCTGTCCTGAGCCAATCAAATCGATTCGTGTTATCGTAGTGACCTCCCACAGACAAACTCGATTAACGATGGGCAAGGCCATGCAAAAGCAGCTTGCTTGGGGTGCGCAGATGGATTTAGCCTTGCTTCGTGAATTCGTGCGCGTCGAGCCATACGACGGTGAGTACGGAACACTAACGGCAAGATGGAAGGCCATCGCTGTGTCTCTTTCAACCCTCTTTGATTATGAGATTCCCCACCGATCAGCACGTGACCACTTCGAGACGATGTAGGAAAGTTCAAGGCGACGGACAAGACCCAGAGAATGCGGGGTACCGGCAGCAACGAGGAGGTCACTGAACAAGTTCAGATTCTCCAGGACCTTGTTGACCGCCGTGCTGCAGCTGAAGAAACCAAAAAGACCAAGAAGGAGAAGGAGCAGAAGCGCCGGGACTCACTCGACTCCACTGGATCCCAATTTTGCCTTGAAGCTGAGCAAAGGATTGTAAGTGGCAACGCATTGCAAACACGGCACCCATCAAGAAGGAAGACAGCGACGTGGTCGTAAAGCAGAAGCATGCCGACGACCATGCTTATAGAATGCACCGGCTTGAGTTTGACAAGGAGGAGTAAATGCCCCGGTTGGTTCAATTGGCTGAGAGCACCAAAAGAAACGAACAACTGGAGCGTCTCTGGTTAGAGATGGGGAAGCTAATCAATGTTGTAGCAGAGAAATCAAAGTAAAAGTGAATCAATGTTGAGTCAAGTTACATGTTCACAAGCAAGTATTCCTTGAGAAATGGTTGTTACAATCCAAAGTAAACACCATTCGTATTTCTTCCACGGTCACAAGTAATGCAGTTTGTGATAAAAACTGCAACTCTGTACATCTTGGAGACTGGGCTACTTCCTAGACGACTTTTCTTCTAGTAGTCAACAATTGGCCAGTACTTTACTCTCTGGCCGAATGACCACTCCACACAGATTCGGACACGGCTCATGCTTTTGTTGACTTCACGTTGAGCAGCAGTCAATCGCGCACCACCAAACGGTGATGCAATTTGATCCGAATAAACGTAAGCTGGATCTCCGTAGACAACAAATCCACGGAAGCGTTCGTCCTTACCAAGAACTTTCTCCAGCCTTGATTGCCGCAAAATCGTGAGATCATGGCGCCGTCCTTCAATCGGTCCAAATGCATGTGAAATGATGCCGTCTGGAGTCACAAGTGTTTGGTACTTGACTGCATGTCGACGTTTGTGGCCTTTGAACAAACTTCGCTGACGCTCATCGCCATCAGGCCGGTAGCATTCTCTGACAGTACCATCGATAAAAGCCCAAACATTCTTGACGTCACCACCCTTGTCTTGTACGGCTTGGCTGAAATCAGCCAACCTTTCACAAATGCGATCGCGATCCAGAAAAATGACATCGGCAAACTCGGTGTAGATGTGGTCCAGCACATGCAAGAAGATGTTGCACAAGCCACTTCGTGATCTTCCAAATGTAGCTATAAGGTCAGACCACCTGTCCGGAGCGGCAAATCGGCGCAACAAGATACACAGCGCCTCAACAGCAGAGCATGATGTGCGTCAGTCACTACTCGGGCTGGAATTCGGAGGAAGATGGCCAAAGCTTGTAGCATTGATTTTGAAAAGCGAATCTTCTAAACGCAGTCGGCATCGGAGAACATGTTCAACGAGAAGTTCACATTAGGGATGGTTAGCTGAGGTGCCCTGTTTCTACGGCGTAGAAGACGAAGCTTGAGACGAAGGGGCAGGCGAAGGCGGTGTATAAAACGGTGGTGATGATGCTTCATTTGGGTATAAAATGTGGACTTCTACTCGGGGAAACACTTTTCAAGCCTGTCAAACTGGAATTCGCCGGACTTCGGACTCCAGACTTCAACACAATCGAACGAAGTAAAAAGTCGGTTATCTGGGCACTTGCCAGACTTGCTAAAAGTCTCTAATATTGTCGCACTATTCAATCTGCACGAAGTAATTGTAGTATTTGTAGCCAATGGGTGACAAGTTATTCTACGACCTAGTACATGATATCATGCATGATCGATCTTGGATATACTAACAAATCAATGCTTGAACCTACTTACTTACCCTCGTTGAAACAATATGTGTAGATAATATGGAAAACGCGACAAATCCAACCGACAATGCTATGATTGGTCAATTATACAAAAAGAAATTTTGATTTCAACCAGTGCACAATAAGTAGAGGGGAAACTCCCTCTACTTAATGGTCCTTCAGGTTTCCCTATTGGGCATGGAACCTCGAAAACTCATGGCAATTAGCCCCGAGTTCAATCCCCTCTGAGGGCAATTAGTATTTCCATGAATTACAGTACAATTTATGACCTCGCTTCCTCTTTCAGACTTCTTTTAACAAACTTGAATAATTACCTATGTGACCTGCAAATGCAGCCTCAAACAGATTATAGCTTTGGTACTTTGAAAGTGCAACTCCCAAAGTCTGTCTCTCAGAGTACTTGCGACGATCGCACTTGATCATGTCCTTCGTAAAATCTTTGATGGCACAGAACAAGCCGCTCTTGGGACATGAAGTGAACCATTGATCCCACGCATCTATACCAGATCGTGCCGTTGGAATGGTATTGGTCACCACGCACTCCCCAAGGGTCAGTTGTCGCTGGCGAACAGGCGCCAGAGCAGCCTTCGGCGTCACGACGCCAACACCTTTCTTCACCGCATTGATAATGGCGTCCAACGTCAACATACTTGTACCAGACGCAGCTTAAACCACGCCATGGACCGAGCCGTTGTGCTTTCTCAGCAGATAGCACGGGTCGATGCCGCCGCTGATGCTTCTGGTCACCAGAGTTACTCGCAACACGTTTTAGCATCCGTCCACCGGCACCACGCCATCAACTCTCGGAAATTGAACTTCCGTTCTGGCGACTCAAACACCCTGTAGAAGCAGCCTCCTCTCCGCATACTGTGCAATGAGATGCCGATTGGCAGACTCGGGACGACTGCACCAAGTCTTGGACAACGCGTCGAACATAGCTCTGATCGAGAGGTTTGAACCAGTCCAAGCGAACTTGACCGTGTTGGCTGGACACAGTTGGGAAAACGCATGCGTCTTGCGACACATTGGCGTGGATATGGCGGACTTTGTCTAGGTAGCCTTAGTAGAGGATGCAGACGCGGAGACATGGATACGAAGTCTCGTCGACCAAATGGTAAACTTGACATTCCTTCTCAACACTCGCTTTCGTATGCCATCGCAGGCGAATGGACACGTATCGACCAGATTTGTCTTCCCCCAAGGCGACGTCGTGCCACTTCGTCGCCAATATCTCGCCGATTCGAAAGCAGCCAATGAAGCAGCAGCACAGCTAAAGCTGAAACATGGCTGCAACAAAGGGATTGTGGTTGGCAAAGAGATTCATCAAAGTTGACAACTCGTGAGCAGTCAAAGGTTGGGCCTTCTTTTCGTCGTCACATTGTTCTGCCGATTGAACTTCTGCAAACTAATGACGTAGCGCTTCCCATGTGTGTCTTGTGCTGGGTTGGGGGATATGTTGCTCTCCTTGAAACATCAACGCGGTTTTCGCGGAGTCTACGGTGCGAGCTTTTCTTCCCAAACTGTACAGTTGATGATGGAGGAAGTCCGTGCAATCCTCGGTCGTGGCGGCTTTAGGGTTGAGCCCGCTCTTGTGCTGAGCACAGTACGCCTCGAACTGGCGTTGGTATGCCATATGTCCTCCGTGTGGAGGCCCCATGGAAATCGTCTTGAATCGCCTGCTTCGTCGGTGTCCTCCCCATCGCTTTTTGGAATGTGAACAGGTCAGTAGAAACGGCGTGAAACGAAACGATTTTAGGATTTATCCAATCATGGCTTGTATATGTTTAATGTTAAGGATATGTAGATGCACCGACACATTCCTCGTCCAACAGGAAATCGAAAATTCTGAGGGACCTCTAGAATTCGTTTCTATTGTCGATTGTCCAATCACCTCCCATTATATTGTCGGTTTGTTGTCACGTCTGAAGTATATGTCGCAATAATTCAATATAATCAGATTATGTCATGCAAACCGTCCTACGTTGGAACAATACTCATGTGA